TTAAAACAGCCAACAACCAAATCAAAATGAGTTTTAAAAACTTTATTTATCACCTGATGTTTGGATAAGAAGCTAAACCAGATATTGATGAATACCAGCATTACTATAACTCTCAGTGTAACCTCAGTTTGCTGTTCCCTACAACAGAGCAGGTGGTTCCTTAAAATCAAGCAGAGAACCAAGAAATCCAGGTTTCCCCATGGGTCTCTCTCAAGGCTGTCTAAGGGATGAGCACACACTGCATCTTTTCTCCTCTATCTTGTCTCTTATTTTAAAAAAATTTTGTAGGGTTATTACACTATTGAAGCCTACCAATCAAATATGGCCAAAACGGGCCAGAAGGTTCAGAAGTCCCTGGGGTAAATGGGCTGCGAGAGTTGGGGTTGTTCAGTCTGGAGAAGAGAAGGCTCCAGGGAGACCTTCTAGCAGCCTTCCCGTACCTAAACGGGCTACAAGAAAACTGGAGAGGGGCTTTTGACAAGGGTGTGTAGTGACAGGAGAGGGGGTAATGGCTTTAAACTGCAAGAGGGGAGATTTAGGTTAGATCTAAGGAAGAAATTCTTCCCTCTGAGGGTGGTGAGGCACTGGAACAGGTTGCCCAGAGGAGTTGTGGCTGCCCCATCCCTGGAATTGTCTAAGGCCACGTTGGATGGGGCTTTGAGCAACCTGGTGTGGTGGAAGGTGTCCCTGCCCATGGCAGGGGGGCTGGAACTGAATGATCTTCAAGGTCCCTTCCAACCCAAACCATTCTGTGATTCTACGAAATTAAGATGGACACAAAAATAGGACAACTGCACATTTCATAAGGCTAAAAGCTCCTGCCTAACTTTGTATTTCATGTCTTCTTAATGAAAAAAAAACCAAACCCTCCAGTAACTATGCAAACAATGCAGAAGAAATAGGAAACCTGTATGAAAGGAAGAACAGGGCACAGAGGAGGGACAGAAGGCAATTGCGTTCCTGAGGGGAACACTCTTCTATTAAACATCTCTATCAGAGGTACTAGGGAAAAAATTAATGGATCAGAGGGAGACCTCTCATTACCCAGCTGGCCGGCATCCAGCACGAAACCACAATAACCACAACTCGCTTTTGAACACAGCAAAAAGGCGCATAAAATGTTTGCAATGGACAAGTGGGAAGCAGGAGAGATGTTCCACACCCAACAACAGCACTTGCCTGTCTTAACCTCACTGATGGGATATGAAGAGCTGATGCTCAAATTCATAATCACTGCCAAGTTATAACCATAAAGTAAATCAGAAAAATGATGGAGCAGAAGAATGGAACCTCCCTGTCCCCATCCCTTGCATGTCCATGTGCCTCCAGCAAGGCGGGCTCCTGCCTGCCTTCCCCCAAATCTCCCTTGATGCTGAAGTTTGCACTTGCAGAGGAAATTTGACACACAAGATTTATAATTCACTGGACAGATGGAGGGGCCTAGAGTAAGGAGCTCTAATACATCGAGGACGTTCCCTCGCTAGAGCCCAGAGTGAAATTCTTCAAGTGCTGGAGACAGATTTTCCTTTGGGCGGCCAGCCATGAGTGTCGATCTGGCTTCTAGGAGAGATCAGCATGGCTGTGGATTGCAGCGACTTCACAGACAAACATAAAACCTTCCTCTTCAACCAACTTTCTTATAATAAACCCATGAAAATGAAAAGCTAGAACATTTCCAGCTGGCGAGAAGCCACGGAGAGAACAGTGAACTTATTGCATGAGCAGGCTTGGAGCTGATTTGAAATCTCCTGGAGATTTTCAATGGTACTTGGACATTCAACAGTATTTGGACCAAAGCACCTAAGTCACTTTTGAAAGACAGATGCAGAAGACTAAATTATTTAGGCGTCTTTGGTATTTTCGAAAGGTTATTTATGGAACCAAATTTATTTCAGATTTCTAACAGATAGCACTGGGCTAAGAGCTAAAGTTTAAACTTTAAAGAGAAAAAGTAATTATTGTTTCCTTGTAAAGCCTTAAATAACTTGAGTACCGCTGTCAGACCCTTACTATAAAAGGGCTCTTACAGAAGGATTTGAGATGCAACTTTGTTTACTTTATCACTTCATTAAAGGTATTTATGGATTTAGAATTGTCCCAGGATGGGAAGAAAAGTCACTTTTTAACTTACTGGCTGCTCAGAATAGCAATTTTGATTCTCTGGGCTAGACTTTTTCCTCTTTACCATACGGTGATGGAATTGCTCTCAGTTTCCTTGAGAGCAAGGAGCAAATCAGGCTTTCAATGCACAGAGTCTGCTGCACTGAACGAGGAGGAACTCTGATGCTCCTAGTCAATGACATTTTTATAGGGCTTATTTTCCATTATAGGGATCTATAATCAAGACAGAAATCCAATCACTACATTTTTCTACTAATTTACAATTTATTGGACTAATAATTGATTTTGGTCATTGCCTTAAACTTGACCATCCCAGAATATTTTGAAAATGTTCTCTCATCTACAATTGCCCTGTAACAGCTGCTACTGAAATATATCGGGAAGGGAGGGGAAAATCTCTTTAATCTCCCAACTTACTCTGTGCATTTTTTGCTCAGTCATTTTCCCTCCCTTCTGCCTGCTGAGGCAAAGCCACACTAATGGACAGGACAGCTCTAAGGTAAGTAAAAACCTATTGGAAATATAAACCTAAAATTACTTGCAACATTTTGAGAAGTCTGTCTGGATTTCAGGTCGGAAACATCCCTTCACCAGCTATGCCAGCGCTCCTTCCTGAGTAAAGGAAAACAGCCAGAAACACAAATACTTCAGGTGGCATCTTCTCCTCGTTCATAGCTATAAGTCAATATTGTGCTAACATTAAGAGGCTTAAAAGAGAAAGAATGTGATGCTCAAAAAGAATGAATTAAAAAGAAGGTGAAGAACAAATTAAAGACATCTCTTTGCTGTACCTTCATCCAGTCAGCCTTCCAGCTATGCCCTGCTCCAACAGTCCAACAACAAGCATCATAGTGGTGGAAGCATTGAACCTGTGATGGCCTCAGAACAGCCAATGGAGCTTTACACAGATGGAGTTTAGTGACATTACAAGTCATGGTATTAGATCATCAATAGGACCAAGGGAGCTGGGAACTATCTCATCTTTGCACCTTATTGCTAATCTCAATAAGCCAGTGACAGGTGGATTCTTCTGTACTTGGAGCAATGAGATGCTGCCCATTACTTGTACCATACTTGGCATCAGTAAGCATCCCTGTTATCCAGAAGATCATCTAGTACTGCCTGTCCTCATCTGAAACTCAACAAGGCCAGAGCATCTCCCCTCTCTCCTCATAACATTCAGAAAAGCCGTTATTTTTAAACGCAAGAAAAAAAGTTGGGACTACCTTCCAAAACAAAGAAGAAAACGCCGTGTACAAAGCCAACCATTTGACAGAGGAGAAGAAATTGTAGAGGGCTACTGTTCAGCCTTCTCCTCACCCAAGCTGAATGCATTTGGCTGCGTTTTGCACTTATGAACCGTACAAACATTTCACTGCTAACGCACTGGCTCCGACCAGCTGAACCTCACCGAGCAGTTTTAAGGCGTTTCATTCTTCAAACAGCCACAGCTTTCCTCTTCAAAATCCCTGCATTCAAGTCTTCGTGCTTGGAAAAGGACCAAAGCCTCCACATTTCCTTATACCCAGGAGGTTGCGAACGCGTTGCGTACTGCAGTCAATAAAATGCCAGGAAGCTAATGAAGATAAAAGTGTCAACGCGTAGCAGTGATAACACACCACCTTTCCCGTGTCGCTATTTTGACCATTTTCCAAACAAATTTGGCAGGTACTCGCAGGCACAAGCCCAAAAAGCGAACGTGCGGCATCTCGACATTATTAAACTTATGGCTGCTCTGCAGAAGCATCGTGAGATGGTAGATTGCTCCCTGCACATCAATTGGATGCAGAGACGTTCTCAAACCTTTACGGGTTAAAAGTGGCTCCAGCATGAATCAGGGTCCCAGTGGTAAGGAGATCATCGATACAAGGGATTATGCAGATTTAAGAAATACCCTCGGCACCCGAAAGTTTTCAGAATGCAAACTACGTCAACCCTGAAAACAAGAGGCACTGCATCATGATGGCAGGAGGGACAAAGCCAGGGGGGTTTAACAGACAAAAAAAGATTGTTTTAATAGGAGAGAAGCATCAGTCATTGAGTCTTACTTCATTCAGACTTTCTATCTAACCCATCCATCTTCAGTGCCAAGAGATGACAGGACCACCTCACTTTTTCCCCCCAGCCTAGTATATCAATAATGCCCATTTCTATCCCAAACAAATGACTCGCTAGAATGGCCTTTTTCCCTAAATTGGCTTGCCAAGCCCCACAAATGCCTCAGTACCTGCTACGGTCAGCTTGGCTCCAACGGGGCCCCCTCGAGAGGTGGGCACCGATGGGTGGAGCCTTCCCCAATCATCTTCCCCAACAGCCATTTTGTCATTCATGGCTGGGGACCATCTGCGGAAGAGGGAACCAGGGAGGGGGGAGCGCCGAGCCAAAGACGGACACAAACGGGCGCGCACACAGCCATACCCTCCCCGCACAAGACCGAATGCAAATTCCTTCGCCCTCGCAGAACGTCTCTGCGGGCATTATCTGTGAACAAAAGTCCTCGAGGCAGGCGGTCTCTGCATCACTGCTCTCTCTGTTAGCACCACCTGCTTGGCGTCAGCCGGGAGAGTCGCCGAGTTATCTTTTTGCCGCGTCTGCAGAAGCCAACGGGAGCACAATGGACCCCATCGGCCAGGGTCAGGCATGGCTTTCTTTCTCGCCCCCGTACCACCAGCCCTTTTCACCTCCACCATCTCCAGGAACCCAAAGCGCTCAATAAGGAGGTGGCTTCGAGCGCAGGGAGGAGGAGGGGAGGGGAAAAATATAGGTCTCTGGCGTAAATCACCGACGCCGTTTCCCCTCCTCTCCCCTTCCTTAAGACCTGATGGTCTTCAGTCACACATCTTAAAAGAAAAACAAAAAACAAAAACACAAAGACTTACTTGTCTCAAGTCGATGAAGGCCAACTGCAGCGTGTCCCCTTGGAACCCAGGCACTGGGCCGGATCTGGCAAACTCTGTGGGAAAGAAAAGAGGATAAAAAGCGCCTTTAACTAACCATGGACAGGGAGATTGGCAGACGGATGACAGGGAAGACAAGAGAGGCTGGGGGAGAGGAGGACCGTGCTTCTAAGGAGTCATGTCTCCCTCCCTTCAGCGTCTTTGTTCGCCCTTCAAAATTCGTGTCATCAAAACACCATTAATTCCACCGTCCTGACAGCAAGGAAACTGTACTAATTCGACCTGAAATTTATTCCCATGAGCCGTACTGGGCTTCAGAGTATTTGTTTTGTGAATGGACAAACAACTCGCCGAGAAGAAAGAGGGGGATGGGGGTGGAAAAGTTTTTCCTCTCGACACAATAAAATCTTCAGCTGTGAAACTCTTTTCAGTTCCGAAAGCTATTTATATTTCAGGGCGCTGAAGGAATTTTCTAATTTCATGCCTGTCACCAGGCTCCATAAGCATTCATCAAAAAAATATGCCCAGCCGCATCATTAATTATTCGGCAGCAGATTATTTGCATTATCTGCTATGGCGCGCTATTGCCAGCATACAGTCACCCCAAATGGGAAGAATCGTGGCCGTTATGTGACATATTTATTTATGTTGGATGAAGACATCTGACAACTGAATAACATTGGCTTCTAAAGGGAAGAGAATATTTCCAAGGCTACATTTACCTCCTTCCAGTGTAATCTGGCCAAAATGTCATACTTAAGTCATTCATTTTTCTTCTAATCCATTATTTAAACCAAGTCTAAAACCACTGAGGGGGACTTGAACAAATCCAGGTTAGAGAACCTTAGCTCTTCCATGCCATTTAACAGCTTTTACTTGGTAGCACTCATGAAGCCAATGACTGCACATATTCAACCATGTCTTTTGAAGATACTCCTGAGGTCGATTTTGCCCAGCTTCACTTAATTTTCACCCTCTTTCGTTGCAGAAGTAAGGGCTTTATCTCTGCTCTCTGTGCGACTTTTCATCATCAAGGGGACCTAATCTGTGAAGCCACAACTCAACATCATGAAAGACTTCAGAGGGAGCTTCTGCCTTTGGCTGCATCTCATTGCTCCTGCAGACACTAGAGATGCTGCACGCTGGAACAAAAAGTTTTCTTGAGATGTAATCGAGCACGATGGCTGAAAGGAAGAAAGGAGGGAAAATACACACCAACCTACAGGTTTTTAAGCTATGTATGGTCCATTATAGCCCAACTATTCTAGTTTTTACCATAAAAGAACCGTCAAAACAGATCCTGCAGCTCCACAAAGCTGAAGAACAAGGATGGCTTGGCAATAAGGAAGGAGGATTTTGCCTTCTGTCTCTCTGACTGCACAAAGGTACTAACAGACAAAGCTTGTCCTGTCCATAAACGCTAAGCAGAGTTGTTTCATTCCAGATGGTCTTCTCTTTGAATGTTTCTCCTTTCAAAAGTCATCTCATTTTCAAGTGAACGTCACAAAAGAAGGAAAACAAATCATCACAGCCTTATTTTTAAGGACTTTCTACAGCAGCCCAGTCATATGAGCCCATGAGTTCCCATGGCGTTAATGAGAAAAGACTAATGGATTAGACAGTTAAGATTCAGCCCTGTTCTTAAACCTGCCTTATTTCTGGAAAGCAGAGAGGGGTTATTTGTCAGCTTTCTTGCTCCACCTTCCATTACAATCTTGAGATGGAGAACATCCTTCAATCCAGACACAGGTACCTCCAGGGGCAGAGCAGCCAGTTTTCAGACACCACAGCTTTGCTTTTTAATGTTTTCTGATGCCAGAAGAGCTCTAACATTGAAATGATCACTCATCTTTGAGTTGTCACTCAAGTGACAACTGCTGCAGGACAAAAACATGGCTGTAAAACCATTACTTTGATCCAACACTACTATGAGAGGTGAATAATAAAGAATAAAAAAAGAAAGCATGTACGTGATTGTTCACATTTAGATTGTGGGCAGGAAAAGCACGGAGAAACCATCCACGGTTGTGCCTACGGACTGTTTGCCACTTTTGCTCAGGATGGGCCTGGACAGAGATAGGAGCTGCTCAGCTTCCAGCCAGCTTCACTGACCAACATTGCGATATTTAGGCTGCAAATAGTCCAAACTAAGTTTACGTTTAACCCTCAAAAACTATTTTAATTAATTCTAACTGTAAAGGCATTTTAATGTACGTTTGCTTATAAAATTTGACTGCAGCTTGCCTGAGCCAGCACACACGCAAGGGGGGACTAACACAAGCTTTCTGACTCTGATCTGCAAGGGATAAATCATCTTTACACATTTGCTCTGCACCCCACTGTCTCATCTGGAAAAATTATCCTAAAAGCCACATCAACCCTAAAACATCCTCACTTTGGAAAAGCACGTACCTGAGAAGCTAAAAACATTTAGATGGGAGAAACAGCGTTTGAGCGTCCTCTCAAGGGATGAAACTGCCCTTGGTGGCTCGGTTGCACAGACGTCTTTGGGTTGAGGTACCCAACAAACCGGCCAAACCGCTACGTCTTACCCTCTGACGACGGGGTCACATCATGTTACTAATTATATTTGAAAAAACGAGGGAAAACAGAAATGCTGAAAGGACTGCAATGAAAGAAAATTTCTATTTTGGATTTGAGGGTTTCGCAGCTGCTAAGAATCTATTTAGAAGCACACATGGAGTTGTGAAATCTAAGATCTTCCCGAAAGCATGAATTTCAAATCCTTCAAAATGCCTGTGACTGGGTCTCGACTATTTTCACAAGACTCGTGAATTTATCACTACTGTCATCTACTCACGAGCAACCCAAGGCAGATTTCATCCCAAGACACGGTTGCTCGTTAGCAGCTCACCTTTCGCTGTCCCTTACTAAGGACCCGTAAGGGAGGAGGGCTGGAGAGTTATGGAGTGACACTGCCCTTTAACACTGCACATTACAACAACGGTAGCGCGTGGAACCGACGTTTGCTTGCACAGTAACTCTCATCAAAAGAACGGATTGGAGTCTCTACGGCATTAACAATGCACTTGACGTCCAAGAAGTGAAATGATGTATGAGATCATATCACTTGAATTACAGAAGAAAAACGACCAACAATACGGCTCAGACGCTGGAATAAAGCTGCTACAGCACTTGGCTGGAAGAAGCCCGAAGAGGCATGAATGCAATGCTTCACCCCACGGTCGTTACAAAAATAGCCGTACCTTCTGTAATCATAGGTCACATTTTACATACCAATGCCACAAACTTATTTTGAAGGAGGAATGAACAAAGTCTTAAAGAAAGAAACAAAGAAGAGAACGGAGCCTTAGAGGAAAGACACAGCCAGTTCTTCTTGGTTTTAATCTCTTCAACCAGATTTCAGGATAATTTTCTCGGAACAACCAAGCACAGTGTTGGCCTCAGTACTGTCGGATTCGTTTGTTGTACCGTCTCCACAACCAAGGCAAGTGGCAAACAGAGCAAGCCACCTACAGTACAGCCCCTTGAGCAGAAAATCACAAGAGAATAGAGCAGATCAGTATGCGGCTGTTTGTACAAAGCATTTAGCCAGGCTAAAGGTTTGAGAGACTTGTGTTCAGGCCAAAAAAGTAATGTCTTTGCAAGGTCTACAGGCTTGGGCCACCCAGGGCAGGTCACAGGGGGACTCTAACCTCTCTTCCAAAACATTTCACCAATGAAAGAATCAAGGAACAGGAACCGTTAAGCCCTTTACAATGAACAAAGAATAAAGAGTTCAAACGCACACCAGAAAAAGAGACATCCACTGTAAATTAATTATGCAGAACGGGGGAATCTCTTCTTGCATACTGTAGATAGCTACGCGCACAGGGACGGAGGCTTACATGTATTGTGTGGTTCAAATAAACACAGCTGGTGACTTCGTTCCTCAAAACCACCATTTTGAAGGTGAGATTTTCTCTAAATTACATGACTCTGCCAGAATTCATGACGGCAGACCTGTGGGATGGAGGTTACAGCAGCTCCTGGTCAAGGGAACCTGGACAATACGTTTGTGGTTGCATCAGTCATGAACAAGAGTTCGGATTTGGGGAACCAACCACCTCAGCATTCCTCAACAAGGAACGTAGGTCTCAAAGTCATCTTCCTCCAACAAACCCTTGGAAGACTGTCTTAGAAAAGCCAAGCGACAGGACCTCTTGCACCTTACCCAGAGGCACAAAATGCCACATTGAGGATACTCAGGCTGAAGAACAAATCTCTGCATGGACTCTGGACAAGCTCACAAGCAGAAAAAAGGTGAAAAATGATGTGTAGGAATTGAGGCAAGAGGAACAGAGAGATGATCCTAATTTCCGTATTGAGCTTGTACTTCACCCATACCATTCCCACACAGCTTTGAAGCTGTTCCCCATTACAGGCCAGATAATCAAAGCTCATTCCCATCTGGGGAATTCCAGAGAGCTGCAGGGAGAGGGAGGGGTTATCCAAAATACACTGAACTGGGTCAGATTAATTAAAAAATGCTACCCTCCTCCGTCATTTGTTCCTCTGATGCAACAAAGATGAGCCTGGAGTCCTGTTGTTGCACAAAAATGAGTGGTCCCACGGGCCATGATGGTCCGCTGACAGGGCTGAGAAGCATCCACAGCTTCAGAGAAGAACTCCTCAGTGCTGGACCACTAGATGTGTTCAAGTAGAAAGAAGCTCTTCAGAAGAAACTGCACGAGATCTGTGCCAAGAAAATCGGTCCCTGCCAATCTGTTGGACAGGTCCACAGAACCAAGTTATGGACTTATACAGGTTCCTAATCTCATAACCCAAGATGTACAATGGCTGCCTCTTATCAGAGGCAGCTACTCCAGTAAAATACTAATACTCGGTAAAACAAAATGTACACATCTCACCATTAGCTTGTTTGAGCTGCAAAGGTTGACAATCATCAATAGTGTGTGTCCATGATGGGTAAGGAAGGGAAAGGGGGTGCAGAGCTGAGGAACTGTGCACTCTTAAAATTGCTTAGAACAAAATCAGATGTGGACAGAGGTGTCTTCTCTTCCTAGAGTTGTGA